AAAAATATTCATTGAGTACCATGTGCCAGAAATTGAGCAAGACACTGGAAGCATACATAGTCCTGGGTCCTGCCTTCCCAGGGTCACAGACTAATGGCGTAGACAGAGCCTAGATTGTGGTGGGAAAGGTGGGCAGGAAGTTGGCAGACCTATTTTTCCTCATTTGATTCAGCATGCAGGAAGGGAAAACATAGCTATCATAGGTTGCACTCCCTTTACCCCCAGCACAGGATGCTATAGGAGGGAGTGCCTGGGGCCAATAGCCTGGTACTAAATAGGTGAGAGGGAAAGCTGAGGTAGGCAGGAATTAGTGAAGTGAAGATATTGGAGAAGCAAGTTCCCAGAAAAGAGGTAGCATCTGCAAAGGCCCTAATGCAGGAAAGAACTTGGCAGATTTAAGAAGCTCATTTAGTATAATTACAGAAATTGAGGCAACAGGAGAAATGGCTTAGAAGACTGAAAAATCCTAGAGCCAAGTTAAAAATTTTATCTTGAGGGACTTCCCAGGTGGTCCAGTGGTTGAGAATCCACCTGTCAGTGCAGGGGACACAAGTTTGATCACTGGTCTAGGAAGATCCCACATACTGCAGGGCAGCTGAGCCCATGCGCCACAACTACTGAAGCCTGCATGCCTACAGCCTGTGCTCTGCAACAAGAGAAGCCACCACAACGAGAACCCTGTGCACCACAATGAAGAGTACCCCCCAACGCCACAACTACAGAAGCCCTGTGCATAGCAACGAAGACCCAATACTGCCAAAAATACATTAATTAAAACAATTCTTTATCTTGAAGGTGCTAAGAAGCCATGGAAAAGTTTTAATGACATTTCCCTGCCTCTTGTATCTCAACCCATTAGTTACCTAGATAGGCCCTCTTATCTTCAGGTACAGAGATGCTGTGCAGACAAGTGTAGTGTCCTTTCAGACTGAAACACGGATAGCTTAGCAGAAACCATACTTAGGAGCATCAGGTAGGAAAAGTATGAACTCAAGAGTCAGAATGCTTGAAGGTCTATAATGTATAATGTTGAACACATTTCTTAACCTCTCCAAGCCACTTTCCTTTTCTTTACAGTTGGTAATGTAACATTGAAATCCCTCATCACGTTGTTGGATCAGAAATAACAAGTACAGTGCCTGTGATTGGCATTCCATAGGTGTTAGCTGCCACTATTTTAGCAATGCTCCCTTGCTAACACAAATTTCAAACCCTCTTTGAGAATGAAATCACAAAATAATATATCATCAAATTGTGAAGAAACCTTAAAGATGTCTGTGTATGATGCTTGGATTCTTTCTGTAACACTGATGAACAGTTGGTTTGTTCTCCAGCATTGCTTGTAACATCCAAAGACAAGAAGCTCACTACTGTCTGAAGCAGCCACTCCATGCTTGACTCTATTATCAGGTTCTTTTCTTGGACTGAATCCAAATCTGCTTCCCTATGACTTCTATTCAGGGGTTTCAGTAGTAGACTCAGTAGTAGTAACAGCTCTTCCCTGTGACAGTCCGCTATGTGTTGGAGGTCATTATCTCCATTTACCACTCACCTAGAGTTGAAAAGCTTGTTTCTTCACCTAACAACAACAATAAAAGGGTCAATTAATTGAGAAAACAATTATAAAACATATATATACCTAACAATACAACATAAAGTGTTAATGGGCAACTTTAATAGTAGTAGTAGTAGTTGTTCAGTTGCTTAGTCCTGTCCGACTCTGTGATCCCATGGACTGCAGTATGCCAGGCTTCCCTGTCCTTCCGGGAAATAGAGCAAACTATTTCCCGGAGTTTGCTCAAAGTCATATTCCGTTAAGTCGGTGATGCCATCCAATCATCTCATCCTCTGTCGTCCCCTTCTCTTGCCTTCAATCTTTCCCAGCATCAAGGTCTTTTCCAGTGAGTCGGCTCTTCCCATCAGGTGGCCAAAGTACTAGAGTTTCAGCTTCAGCGTCGGTCCTTCCAATGAATATGCAAGGTTGATTTCCTTTAGGATTGACTGGTTTGAGCGCCTTGCAGTCCAAGACACTCTCAAGAGTTTTATCCAGTGCCACAGTTCAAAAGCATCAGTTCTTCAGCACTCAGCCGCCTTTGTGGTCCACTCTCACATCCATACATGACTCCTGGAAAAACCATAGCTTTGACTGTATGGACCTTTGTCAGCAAAGTAATGTCTCTGCTTTTTAATATGCTGTCTAGGTTGGTCATAGCTTTTCTTCCAAGGAGCAAGTGTCTTTTAATTTTGTGGCAGCAGTCACCGTCCACAGTGATTTTGGAGCCCAAGAAAATAGTCTGTCACTGTTTCCATTGTTTCCCCATCTATGCCTTGAAGTGATGGGACCAGATGCCATGATCTTTGTTTTTTAAACATTGAGTTTTAAGCCAGCCTTTTCACTTTCCTAGTAGTAGTGTACTAGTAATAATAACTTATTTGCTGAGCACCCCCACTAAACTTGGTACTATAGATACGCTCATAAGTAAGTCTCAACCTGTCAACTGAAGAAAGTTAGAAAAGTAAACAAGTATAACACAACATTACAGATACTATGACAGGAATGTGCAGGAAAAAGCAGGGGGCAATTAGGGGACTAGGCATCTTGATAGAAGAGGAGCCTGCCTCTTAGATGATACAAACTATACCCTCTCAGTTGAGTAGGTAATACTTACACTCAACTGGACTTATTTGTGGTATTTGTTAAAATATTTCAGAGGCTTTAGTCATACAAAGTATTCAAAACAACCACTGTCAGTAACTGCAAATGCATTCTTACAAGAGATGTTAATTTTCCCTGTTAATATTCTTTACAAAGACTCTTGGGTTAGAGTCAGAATAATGGAAGCCAGGCAAGGAAGAAGGGTGGAATACTGTGATTTGCTGTACCTGTACATGGATGGCAAATACTTGGAAAGGAGTATTTGAAAATATTTGAAAGGCTAGACTTGGCTAGTCTTTCATAAGCACTGAAATAGAAAAGATGAGGCATATTATGTTTGTTGTGGCCATTCAATATAGGAAGGCCACAGAAGATGGGGAGCAGTAAAGGACCTGCCCACTGACTCCTTGCAAGTTGTATGAAAGCAGCATGGTATTTACAGTTCAATGCTTGTTTCTCTGTGTGGAGCCCTATACTGGATGCCAGGGTAAAAATAACCCAACCAGGAGGCTGAGGTATGGGCACAAGGTGACCCAATGCAGAAAGAGGTAGAGAACCTTAGGAAAGGATTATTTGATGTGCCCTGGAAATTCTGAGGACAGATCCTTGGACTGATGAAGTTAGCCTTCCTTAAGGAGGCAGCATCTCCAGGAATAAAACAATGAAGTCCTCCCAAACTCCTAATGTGGGACTTCTTCAGAGATCCATAGAGTGCAAAAGGCAGTGAACTTCAAACTGCCTTTTTGAAGAAGAAACATGTGAAAGAGGCAGAAACATGACAGTAAAATATCCATGGAGAGTAATTTTTCAAGTTTATTGAAGAATCCTTTCAAGAAACAATTACATAACTAAGGATCTTGAATATTCCCCCAAACAAGAAATGATGAGAAAGCATAGAAAAGTTTATTTCACAATGTGTAAGCCTTCCACCTTTAGAAGTCACTAAGGAGGATAAAACAAGTGTTGTTAGAAGCAGAAAATACTCACAGAGACAAATGAGGAAACAGGAGTGTTGAATAGAAGTTCAGACACCAGTCATCTCCCCATTGCCCAGATGAAGGGACTGAAGTTCAGAGACATTCTCCAACTCCTAAGACATAAATAGGACTCCTTTTCCCCCAACAGGGCAGTTGCAGCCCAGTGATGGGTTTAGCACACATGCCCCCTTCAGCCTTTTCTGAACTGACTTGACAAAACAGAGGCATTTACTCCCCAAAACTCTAAATGATATTTCATCAGGGGACTGTCTCCTCAACTGGGGCCCTGGTGCAAGGTAATATCTCTTCTGCCCCTCATTTGCTGAACTGACTTTTTTTTTAAGTAGTTCCCTTCAGGCATTATTATTAAGACATCATCCACATACCATAAATGTCACCCTTTTAAAGTGTACAAACCTATGATCTTTAGTATATTCACAAGATATCACCACTGTCTAATGCCAGATCATTTTCATTTCCCCGTAAGGAGACCTGGTCCTCACTAGTAGATACTTCCAACTGTCCCTCCCCTAAACCCCTGGGAACAACTAATCTACTTTCTGTCTTTATGGATTTTCCTATTCTGGATGTTTCATATAAATGAAATCATATAATAATAGTGTTATGTGTCCAGCTTCTTAACAGTGTTTTTATGGTTCACTCATGTTGTAGCTTGAATCAGTACTTCATTTCTTTTATGGCCAAACAATAGTCTATCATAGAGTGTGTTTTGTTTATCCATTTATCAGTTGATTGACTTTGGGTTTTTCTACCTTTTGGCTATTGTGAACAGCAGTACTATGAATATTCATGTTCAAGTTTTTGTGTGGACAAATGCTTTTTGTGTTTGTGTAGTCAGTTGCACCTAGGGCTGCAATTGCTGGGTCATAAAAGTTACGACCAACCTAGATAGCATATTAAAAAGCAGAGACATTACTTTGCCAACAAAGATCTGTCTAGTCAAGGCTATGGTTTTTCCAATGATCATGTATGGATGTGAGAATGGACTGTGAAGAAAGCTGAGTGCCAAAAGATTGATGCTTTTGAACTGTGGTGTTGGAGAAGACTCTTGAGAGTCCCTTGGACTGCAAGGAGATCCAACCAGTCCATCCTAAAGGAGATCAGTCCTGGGTGTTCATTGGAAGGACTGATGCTGAAGCTGAAACTCCAATACTTTGGCCACCTCATACAAAGAGTTGACTCATTGGAAAAGACCCTGATGCTAGGAGGGATTGGGGGCAGGAGGAGAAGGGGACGACAGAGGATGAGATGGCTGGATGGCATCACTGACTCGATGGACATGAGTTTGAGTACGGGAGTTGGTGATGGACAGGGAGGCCTGGCGTGCTGCGATTCATGGGGTTGCAAAGAGTCAGACATGACTGAGAGACTGAACTGAACTGATGGTAACTCTGAGTTTAACTTTTTGAAGAATTGCCCGACTATTTTTCAAAGGTCTACGCATTTTACATTCCCATCAACATTATATGAGGGGTCCAGTTTTGCCACCTCCTCACTAACACTCATTTTTTTATGATAGCCATTTAGTAGGTATAAAATAATATCTCCTTGTGGTACTGATTTTCATTTCCCTAATGACAAATGATGTAGAGCATCATTTCATATGTTGTTAACCTTTGTATATCTTCTTTGGAAAAATGTCTATTCAAATTCTTTTCCCAGTTTTCCCAGTTTTTAATTGGGTTGTCTTTTTATTGTTAGGTCATAAAAGTCCTTTATTCTGATTACAAGATCCTTATCAGATATAAGTTTGCAAATACTTTCTTTCATTTTGTGGGTTTATATTTCTTTGAACTGTCCTTTGAAGCATTGCTGGACTACTTTTAACAAATACTAAAACATCTTAAACTAAATTAGGAATATGTAATTGTTGTTTGAATTATACTTTTAAATTTAATAAGCATTATAATTTTTCGAGCAAGCCATGTTTTGACCACGTTTTGGGGCTTCTAGACTAAGAGTTTTTAATTCATTATGGGATCTATCATAATAATAGTTATCACTTTATAGCATTTAGGTACCAGGTGCTGTTTGAGCACTTTGCACGTATTAACTTATGTAATTCTCACCACAATCCTATGAGGGAGAAATTTATTTCACTGCTCATTGTACAGATAAGAATGGAGGCAGGTGCTCACTTTGGCAGCACATACACTAAAATTGGAACCATCCAGAGATTAGTATGGCCCCTGTGCAAGGATGACACGCAAATTGGAGAACCATTCCATATTTTTACAAATTTAAAGAGTAGCACTGAAACATTTACATTACCATATGTAAAATTAGATAGCCACTGGAAATTTGGTGTATGAGGCAGGGATTCAAATCTGGTGCTCTGTGATAGCTCAGAGGTGTGGGATGGGGTGGGAGGTTGTTGGGGGAGGTTCAAGAGGGAGGGGGCATATGTGTACCTACGGCTGATTCATGGTGATTTATGGCAGCAACTAACACAATAATATAAAGCAATTATCTTCCAATTTTTTAAAAAAATAATGGAGGCAGAGGAAAGTTAAGTAATTTGCCTGAAGGAAAGTTAAGTTGAGTAATTTGCTCAACAGAGATGAGCTCTGGATTCCGTTCTTAACCATCTGCTACTGATGAGGCAAAATTAAACCATTTCAAAGAATGCCTACCTCCTCACTGCGGGGAAATTATAGTGTTTTCCTGGCGTCTACACTGTGAACAGTTTTCCCCTCTTTACCAAGCCAGAAACTAGTGCCACCTTTCCAGGCGTCCTCATTACTCCGTCCCCTCCCAGTTTAGCCTCAGAGCCTTCTCTCCTGTCCACTGGTCCCAGACAGTTGTTGGAAGTAAAAGTCGTCTGCGTTCCCCAGGTGGAGTGGGTCTAAATTTCTGTCTGCCGGTTGGAACCAAGCAGCAGCCGATTCCGCCCTAAGAGGCTCAGGGCCAAGCCGTGGGCGGGGCCAGTAGAGGGGGCGGGAACTGGGCCCCGGCTGACTTGCCTCTACACTGTGCGGCGCCTGCAGCTCAGAGCGGAGCCATGAGCTGGACCTGCCCGCGTTGTCAGCAACCCGTTTTCTTTGGTGAGACCTGGGTGGAGAAAGGGGAGAAGACGGGGCAAGTGAGAACTACTGGGCTCCCTGAGGACACAAGGAGCTGGCAACTAGTTCCGGACCCTCTTTCCACCTGTGGGGTGCAGGGCACTCGGGCGGGATGGAGCTGGCCTCCCGGAGACACTCCCCCTCGCCTCTAGGAGCCAGGGTGGGCGGGAACAAGAGGGGAAAGGAGGGCGCCTTCTGCTTGGCCTGGCTCCCCTCTGCACGATTCCACCTTGTCCTCCGCAGCAGAGAAAGTGAGCTCCCTGGGCAAGAACTGGCACCCATTCTGCCTGAAATGTGAGCACTGCCACAGCGTCCTGTCCCCAGGAGGGCATGCAGAGGTGAGGCCTGGCTAGGGCGCACAGCTCTGTGTCTGTCACTATCCCTGTCACTATCTCCTTCCCCAGAATGGAACAGGAGGTGGGACCAGGTGGCAGTACCCCACCTAGTCCTCCGCTTCCGCTTCACATGCCTACAACCTTGTTCATGGCAAAGTCTTCTCCTTGGCTCCTTTTCCATCTGCCCACCAAAGGCAGCCTCAGCAGCCAACTCCCAAGATCACCTACCCAACAGGCACCATACGAGCCAGGATTTGGGGAGCCTGAATTGTGCTGATAGATCCTGTGCCTTGTGGGGTAGGGTTGGGAAGCAGCTGTGCTTCCTGACCTCCTTTTTCCCTTTTTCTCTGGCCACTGTGGCAATTCTGGCATGCCAGCTCACCCCTCACTCCTCCCATTCCCTCCAGCCCAGGCCAGTAGACAGTCACACCTGGCAGCCTGTAGGGGAAAAGCCTGTGGGGCACAGGAGAGGCCCTGTTGGTCCCTAAGCAGTCCTCTTCCCTCTGCTTGTACCTAGCACAACGGAAGGCCGTATTGCCACAAACCATGCTATGGGGCTCTCTTTGGACCCAGAGGTAAGTACCAGTCTGGAAAGGGCCAGGGGATAGCAGAACCCTCTGTGTGGCTAGGAGCTGGAGACTCAAGCCTGTCCTTCCCTCTTCTCTCTGCAGGGGTGAACATTGGTGGTGTGGGCTCCTACCTCTACAAACCTCCCATTCCCACACCTGCCAGCACCACTCACCTTAGCCCCAGCAGCTTCAGCCCCCCCAGGCCCAGGACTGGCCTCCCTCAGGGCAAGAAAAGTAAGTGAGATTGAGCCCCAGACAAGGAACCCCTCCTGACCCTTCCCCAGAATGGAACAGGAGGTGGGACCAGGTGGCAGTACCCCACCTAGTCCTCCGCTTCCACTTCACATGCCTACAACCTTGTTCATGGCAAAGTCTTCTCCTTGGCTCCTTTTCTGATATTTCCTCATGTCAGCTGCTGAGTAAGAGGTAAATTGGGCAGATGGCATTATCACCCCCACTTTACAGGTGAGGAAACTGTGGTCTGTAGAGGGCAAGTGAACTTGTGCAGTCACACAGCTAATCAGAGGCAAAGCTGGCCTAGAACTCAGGCCTCTCCCAGGTCAGGGCCATGGAAGGAATAACCTAGTGTGAGGGGTCACTGAGATGGGCCAGCCCCTCACATTCTTTCATTTTTCTCCCTCCCTGTTTCTTCATCCCCTGAGTGGACAGTGACACTGTGCTCCCCAACACCTGACACCCCTGCCCTGGCCAGCTCCTGTATCAGCTCAGGTTTCCTGAGGATTGGGTTGCTGACAGAGTTGGACTGGTGGGCACCTGAGCCCCTGGAAGGATGAGAAGGAAGCAGGAGGTCCCTCCTGCAGACAGGGATGGGGCAGGAGATGGAGTCAGAGGGGACTCAGCTCTGCCTGAGAAAAGCAGGCTCATGTCCATGTGGGTGGGAGGCTGTGGGATGAGCCTGGCTTTTGGAAGAGGACAGTGCCACATATACAAGCCAGGGCTGATGGGCCCTGATTAGGCCTGGTTCCCATCTTAGCCCTAGCCGGGGGCCTCTTCCTCTTAAAGGCCCTCCCCACATGAAGACATTCACTGGGGAGACCTCATTGTGCCCGGGCTGTGAGGAACCTGTCTATTTTGGTAAGTGACAACAGAAGGCTAACGGAGGGAGGTGGTGCCAGGCAAGTGGGTCTCCCTGCTCTGTCCCTGGAACTACCACCTCTCCTCTACCAGCTGAGACGGTGATGTCTTTGGGCAGAAATTGGCACCGACCCTGCCTGAGGTGCCAGCGGTGCCGGAAGACCCTGACTGCTGGAAGTCACGCTGAGGTGAGCAGGGCAGGGGTGGGTGTAACTATGCTGGGAGGGAGGCTGGAAAAGAGCCAAGCTGAGACGTCTCTCTTTCTCTCTGTGTCCCAGCATGACGGCGCCCCCTACTGCCACATTCCCTGCTATGGCTACCTGTTTGGCCCCAAAGGTGGGCAGCCCCACCCCAGATGCTGGGCCTGGGGTGGGTCTGTGTGGACAATTTCCCCTGTGGTCAAACACACTGCAGGCCCCTCCCAGTTCCCTCCAGCCTTCAGCCCAGCGACCCCCAACCCCAAGGCCCTTGGTGATGGGGTTCTCTCCTTCAGGTGTGAACATTGGTGATGTGGGCTGCTACATCTATGACCCCGTGGAGATAAAATCTAAATGAAATACTCACAGGAGAGGTCACACTAACCCAGGTCGTCCATCAACCCCTCTGTGGTCCAGTGGAAGCTACAGAGTTTTCTAGTCCCATGAGAGTGGGAGAAGGTGGGATTCTGGCGGCCTGGGCCTAGGCTCCATGGTAGACCAGAGTCTACACTTTCTCTGCCAACTCCTCCCTCTCCCATTCCTATCTGGTCAGGGGACACAGGCCCACCTGTGTCCTACCTGAAGGGTAGCCTCTTGGTCTTTCCAATCCCTTGACCCAGAAAATTCTGTAACTTCAAGGTACTCATAAAACTTGTGTTTATTTTTGCTTCTCCAATAAAATGTTGGCTCCCATGCCTTCAATTCTTCTTTAGACACGAGGCCTAGACAGTGGGTTGCAGGGTGGGGAGTGTAGGGGTGAGGAGGTGCATTAACCTGCAGAGTGCCTGGGAGGTAGCAAAGTCAGCCACAGGAACAAAGAGCTCTGTTCTCCTGCTTCCCTGGCTCTGGCACTGGGCAGGCCCAGCCCCACACAGTGGACAGGATGCCCACCAGCCCTACTGGTACCAGAAGTATCACAGGACAGTTATTTCTTTAGCACCATTTCTAGAAGCACCTTAGCATCTCATTTGAGCATGAGAGGAGATAGATACTGTGGTGAGGTCTGCTAAGAGGCTTCATTATCCATTTGAGAGATGACCAGAAAGACCCAGAGAGGGAAAGTCACAAGCCCAAGGTCACCCAGAGATCAGTAACAAAGCTGGGACCAGAACCCAGGGCCAGACTCAGTGGCTTCTCATCCAGGGCTTATCCCACAGCTCCAGGGGCACCTCTATTTACAAAATCCTCCCAGCCATGAGAGGGGTGCCAGACTTCTCAGCAGCCCACTGTATTCTGAGAAGCTGCTGTGTTACTAGAGGCCAAATAGTCAGGCTGGATGAGAACAAAGAGAGCAACTGCAGCCCCAGGCAGGGGGTTCGCTGCCCCCGCCCTAGTTCCAGGGTCTGCCCTTCTGTTTTCTCAGCCCCTGCTGCAGAACTTCTGTAGAGGGCCTGCCCTTGATACCACTCAGTCCTGGACCTGCTTCATGGGCATCTCTTCCTCCTGAAGACTGGATGGGGCACTGGGGAGGAAGGAGTCATGAGCAATGGTGGGCTTCAGCCTCTCAGCCAACCACCCCAGCCTGCCCCTGAGGGCTGGTCTAGGGCTTCCCCCAGCTCTTGACATGCAAACACATGCACTCCCACAAGTGACTCCCACACATGCCTGACACATCCCTGACATGTAGGCATACCTGAGTGTGTGTACACATCCTCTTCTTCCTGGACACACACACAGGTATGGACTCATGGATACTTTTATACACACCTCAGGTCATGCTCCCATGCACACTCGCATACATGACCAGATACACATGCGCTGACGTGGCTCCCGCTCTGAATCTTATCTAAGATGTCAGGTACCTGGGCACCCATACCCACATGCACGTGCTCACACAGACACAGTCCTGTGCACACACCTCTTCCTCTCCACATCTTGGATGGTCTCTGGCAACTGTGCCTGCTTTGTCTCTGGTAGCAGGAGGGCAGTGCAGGCAGCCAGCAGGGCGATCCCCCCATAAGCGAGCTTGGGCAGTGACAGCCATAGTCCGTCCAGCAAGGCTGCCAGTGGGGCCAAAGACCCCCCTAGCCGGCCCACCAGTGCAGTCAGCCCCATCCCCGTCTGTCTGTTTAGAGAGAGGGCAGAGGAGAGGGCTGGTACTTGAAATTACTTGCAGTCATGCCTCATGGGGCTCCCCTTCTGGGCTGGCAGGCCCTGGTGCCCCCTTCTCCCCAGACAGCTAAGAAAACTGGGGCTTCTTTCAGGTGGTCTTCCCACCCACTCCCAAGCCCAGGGGCCCCCAAGCGAGCACCCACAGGAGGATGGGCCCCCGTTCTGATAGTAGCAATCAGGTAGTGCAGAAGGGAAAAAAAGAAGTCATTAGAAAGAGGATGGGGAGAGGGTGGTGTGAAAGGAAGAGGTCAGCAGCTGGAATAGACTCTGCCGTGCAAGAGGAGACAGAGGGCTTTCTCAACATGCCCAGCTGTCTGCCCATCTCCTCTCCACCTGTCAATAGCTACCTGAAAGAACCTTATGTCCAGAGACAACCCCCCAAGGGCAGCTCTGCTCGGGCTGTGGTGAATAGGATGGGATGAGTTGGACAGATGCGGCCTTTTGCGACTGTTTTCTTTTAAAGGACCCCCAGAGAAGTTGTCTGACTTTGCTCAGGGTCACTTAGTAAAGATTAAATGCCCCACCTCTTCCCAGATTTAGGCAAACCAGACGGCCCAGATTAGGTCTGTAAGGGATGGATGACAGCGACCGGGGTACGGTATACGTGTCTAGGATGTTAGAGATGTGACTAACAAGCCCTCCCTCCAGGTGGCTTGCCTGGGACCCCTCACCTGAGCACGGTAGGGTACAACTCTGACGTGAACAGGTAGGCAGTGGTAAAGGCAGCTTCAGAAAAAGCTTTCCCCATCACCGCCAAGGCGGTGCTCCAGGACTTCATCTCTGGAGGAAAAGGGGTTCAGGCAGTGAGCAGGCCTTGCCGGATAACCGAGGTTCTCCAGGCTAGGAGGTGCAGTCTCGGGAGAGGGCGGGACTTAACTGGCCTGAGTCGGGGCTTCCGGGATGGGGTGGGGCGGCTAGGGGGCGGGGCCTACGGGAATGGGCGGGGCTCACCGGGGGACACCAGTAGCCTGAAGCCCAAAGCGAGCGCGGCACCAAGCAGCGTTCCCGCCATCGTGAGGCGGCGTCCCGCGTGGCGCACCGACAGATAGACCAGCAGCTTGGAGGGCAGTTCCACGGCCCCGAACACTAGCTGCGTCAGGTACACGTTCAGGCCCAGTCCCGACACGTCCAGGCTCACGCCGTAGTAAGAGAAGTTCACTCCAAACCTGAGGGGGTCACGATGCCGCTCAGGGGCCCTCCTTCGCGCCCCATTGTCCTCTCAGGAGCCTTAGGCCTTTTAGAGGTACTATCTCCCCCACCTTCGGAGCCCACTGCCCATGACCTTCCCAGTCTCCATAATCCCTTCTGAGTGTGCAGCACATGCCGGTGGCCCAAATGGCCTGACCTAATCCTCACAACAATCCCGTGAGATAGGAACTAATGGCGTCCGGTCGTACAACAGAGGCACTGAGGCTCAAGGTGCTAAGTGATCTACCTGTCCAAGGGCTCACAGTAAGGAAGCGGCAGAGCTTGCGTTTGCCCCCACGTGTCTCTGACGCCGGCTCCATCCTGACCTTCCAGAGTCCAATCCCCCCAGAAACTGACCCTCCCTTCATCCTCAGTTAGTTTCACTTGTCCCGTGTCCTGTCACACTCAGCACCAGCTGGAGCCCGCCCCTCCCCCACCCCTCCTGGCCCAGGTCAGGCTCCCTCCTCACCACACCACCATGCAGCACAGTGAGATGTATCGCAGCCGTGGTGTCCGGAACAGGTCTAAATACGAGGGTCTTCGGACCATCCGCTCTGCGGCAGCCACTTTGTTCAGGGCCTGGTGGGGGAGGAGGAGGGTTTGTGATGCCGGAGTCGGCTGTGAGGCCTGAGCAAGGTACCTTGTTCTCCCTGGATCCCTATCCTTCTCTTCTGCAGTAGAGGGGGAGGGGATGCTGGTGGGAGCTGAGTAGGGTGGGCCCTGAGCAAAGGGTGTGGCCCACCAGGGCCAGTAGGACATCCTGAAGAGTTTGAGACATTCTACTGGGGTCCAGGAGCTTTTCTTGCACAGTGTGGACCCAAGAAGGGCACCCTTGACGCAACCTGCTGACCCCCACGCTCATACACAAACATGTACTTGCACACACGCACATCATGCATTCACTCTCACCTCCCGGCTCAGGCTGTCCTCACCCGCAGGCTGCCCATTGAGCCTGGCACAGTGGAGCAGGTACCTGTGGGCCTCTTCCACACGGCCCTGGGTCAGAAGCCAGCGGGCAGATTCAGGCACCCACCTGGGGGACAGGAGGAGGCCCTTCAGTCAGAGTCACTGTCCTAAGCCACATCTCCCTCCTGGGCACACTTGTCAGCCTCCAGGCTCTTCCCACACAGTACACTCAGCCTGGAACATGTTCCCTTCCCAAGCCCTCCTCATCTAATGAATTATTCATCTGTTAAGGCCCAATTTCAAAGCCACCTCTGCCCACTCTTCTTTGCCCAGGCCTAGGTACCCCACAGCCTGAGATTCCCTGCTCTGCTCAACTGTATTGGTCTCATTCCCAAAACCTCAGCTCCCAGCACTAGTTATCACTTCTCCCACAGGTGACCATGAGGGCATAGGATGAAAGAGACAGACACACAGACATACCCAGAGGGATCATCCAAAACCAGTTCATTTGGGGGAGGCAGTGAAATGCCCACCTCACCCAGCCTCTCACCCTCCTGTTTGGACTCCTGTGCTGGCTTTGCCCCCACCCCGACTCCTCCAGGGCACCAACCTGTTTGTGCTTAGCTCTGTCTCTCCATCCCCATCTCTCCTGTCACTCTGTCTGTGCCTCTGAATCTGCCTTTCAGTCCTGGTCTCTCACTGTCTCTCAGAGGCTCTGTCTCTGGCATTCCATCTCTGTCTATATTTTGTTCTCTCTTTCTCTGCTTCATATGCCTGATGCCATCCTCTTTATACTTATGTTTGTCTCTCTTTCTCTTGGTCACTGACTGTTTCTCTTCATCTCTCAGTTTCTGTTTCAAATCTCATCCTTGTGTGTGTGTTCAGTTGCTCAGCCATGTCTGACTCTTTGCAACCCCATGGACTGTAGCCCACCAGGCTCCTCTGTACATGGGATTCTCCAGACAAGAATACTGTAGTGGGTTGCCATTTCCTCCTCCAGGGAATCTTCCTGACCCAGGGATCAAACCCACATCTCCTGCATTGGCAGGCAGATTCTTTACCTCTGAGCCACCTGGGAAGTGATTCATTTTGTCTCTGGCTTCTGTATCTCCCACTCCCCAGCTGCCCACAAGTCTCACCAGAGGGTAAGGATGCCTGGAGCACAAGGCAGGGTGACAGTCAGTAGAAGCCATCGCCAATCCCGTATCAGGTAGCCGATTAGTGCCAACAGCATCACACCCCCTGTCCAGAAGGTGCTGCTCAGGACACCTGCCACGGTCCGGTGTCTCACGTCCAGCCACTCCAGTTCTGGGCCAGGGCAGGGGTTGGAGGCAGGAAGACAGTTAGCAACGGTCAGATGGGCTCAGTCTCACCTTTGACCGCTGCTTCCTTCTGGTCCTCTAGGTCCTACCCATTCTTTGCATGCCTTACCCAGTGGCATCACAATGATGGTGAAGCCAGCCAGAGCCATGCCAGTGAGGGTGCGAGTGATGACAAACATGATGTAGCTGACCGATGCTGCAGACGCCAGGCTCAGCACCAGGGAGCTCACGTAAGCCACCAGTAGCAGGCGGCGCCGCCCAAACCTGCACAGGGGTCACGCAGGGTCAGCACCCTGTGGACGGGAAGTCCCATACCACCGTTAGTGGAAGAGGGCTCCCCACCCCACTCCGTATCGGCCCCCTCTACCTCACCCCACCTGTCAGACAGGTATCCGTAGACCACGGCCCCCACCAGCACACCGGCGAAGAAGAAGGTGGAAGTGGCTTTGTTTAGGCCTTTCTGCTCACACACAAGGTCCCACTGCAGGAACAAGCAGGGAGGGGCCTCCTATAGGCAAAGGCCCCTTCCAGCTGGTACCAATCCCTCTTCTCCCAGACCCTGGGGCTTTACTGAGGTCAACTGTGCCATCCTGGTACCTCGATGTAAGATAATAAGTCCCCAACTATTCCCTCCAGCTTGGGGGGTGGAAAACTTTGCCCCCTACCCCGGTCCTGCAACCTCAGTTTTTTGCCATGGAAGGCCTTGACTATGACGACAAGAGTACTGCTCCTTCCCAGACAGACTGTCCCCCACCTCCTCCTCCATCCTCTAGATGAATTATATAAATCCTAGACCTGGGGCCAGGAAAAAAGAAGGGAGAGGAGTCCTCTATTGTTTTTCCACCTCTTACAACAGAAAAACCCTTCTCAAATATCTTCCCCAGCTCCCTGGAGCAGACTTGCCCCTCCCTTGCCCTAATCACCTCCCAAGTGGTAATAGCAGCTCTCACATAGGGCCTTTACCACAAGCCAGGAACTAAGCTCAGTGCTTTAAAGTTATAGACCCCATCTACAGATTGGTAAACTGAGACTCTCAAAGGTAAAGTAATGTATCTAATGCCCACATGGTAATCACCCAAGGCAATGGCAGACCCATCCACTCACATGTCCCCCAACCTCCCAGCTCGGGTACCTCAGTTGCAATGGTGGAGGAGAATTCCGAGTGGTTGTACTCCCAGCCCTGAGGACAGGGCACTGTGGAGGGCTCACCCTCTGGTTGCTCCCCAGGGTTCTGCCCACCTTCCCACAACGTGCTGTTGGGGAGGGCCTGCGGATGGGTGAAGCGGAGGCAAGAGCTGAGCCTGCCGTCAGGCTCCCGGGGCAGGTGGGCCTCCAGCCATGCATCCTGGTTACTGAAGTTGTCAGGGGCTCCAGGCAGGGCACAGCGGTGGGCCGGCACGGCAGCCAGGAAGATGGGCAGGAGGAAGTGCATGGGTAGCAGCACCCGGGGCAGGGCCAGCAGAGCCACATTCCGCAGCTGGAAGGGCCCAAAGCCGCCCACCTTGTCTAGCAGCTCCTCGAATCCCATGCTGCTTATCCACCAACCTTCTCCTGTGCGGACTCCCTCTATAATGCCTAGCACAGCTCAAAGCACCCACCACTTGAACCCTTGGACTCTGGAGGCGGGAGAGACAGACTGATGAGCAGAGAGCCTTCAGTCAGAATCCAGCCCTCAGGGGCTGGCCCAGGATGGGGCCCTCCCAGGCCACCCAGGTCTCCAGGGATCCCTGCCTATCTGGCTTAGTTCCCCAGGGGAGGAGGGGGAGTGGGGGAAAGGCTGCCATCCACTCAGAAGTCACTGACATTGTGGCTCTGGGACTTACATATTGGTGCTCAAGGACCAAGTCGGGTAACCATGAGCTGCCAGGGGTTAGCTGGGTGTGTGGGAGATGAGGCCCTAGCCCCTTGGTCAGTAGTGCTTCCAAAAGTCCCTATAAGGAGAAGTCCCCCAGAGCATGGTGCCAGCTCTCCCTGGATGCCCTTTGTCCTATGAAGCCTTAGTTCATCTGTGTCTATTTGTAGCCACAGCCTGGCTGGCAGCTCGGGATTCAAAACCGAGATCTAGGTCCTAACCAGGTGAAGGGTTCTTCCGGCTGAGAACCCTTCCCGTACACAGGAAGGGAACATGAGGCCTTCCTATACTCCTACCTGGAGTGTATGTCCCAGCCAGAGACACGCCTGAACCCACACCAGCCAGCCTGGCTGACCTGGGGATCCCAGACCCATCACCCTTCCATTTTTTCACTCAGGGTCTCTCAGAATTTGTCTGATCTCCCCACTCAATTCTCATTCATGGCCCCTGCCACGAAAGCACAGTGGAAGCCAGCAATGTCAGACTCATTCTCATCTGATTCTACCAGGTTGACAAAGCTGGGAGATTGTCACATCATATTCCAAGGGCTCCAAATTTCTAAGCAAATAAGCTTCTCAAGGGCCTAAGCTAAAATATATATATATATTTTGAAAATATCTCATTTAGTCTATCCCCCACTTTGAATAGATAAGAAAAATGATTTGGGAGGCTGAGAACACCTCTGGCTGGGGTCACCCAGTGACTCAGCAGCAGAGAGAAGACCTGGACCCCTGACTCTGGCCCCAGTCTTTAACCCAAACTGCTGAGCTGGAGATGTTCCAGTCTGCACTAGGCTAGACTCCCTGAGATAGCTCTGGGAAAAGAGCTAAATTGTTGATGTGGTGTGTGTTACTGGTGGTGCTAGTAGACTAGGGAGTGATTTGGTGGTGATGACGGGAGCTGATAGTAGTATTAACAAGAGCTGTTGAGTCTCTAAAGCAACCTCAGCATTTTGTAAGGTAGAAAGATGCCTCTGCCACAGTCCCTGCCCTCTGAACATGCAGTCTGGCAGGAGGGTTAAAACAAGTGATACAAGCACCCCTGCACCGGCTCCAGTCTCACCCCTCTCAACCCCTGCCCCCACACCCACTGGAATGAACATTTTAAAACACAGATCCAACAGGGTAATGTCTCTGTTTCAAACCCTATATCAGGGACTTCCCTGGTGGTCCAATGGCTAAGACTCCGTGTTCCCAATGAAGGGAGTCCAAGTTCAATACCTGGTCAGAGAACTAGATTCCATATGCCACAGCTAAGATCCCACAACATGCAACTAAGAGTTCACATGCCACAGCTTAAAGATCCTACAACTAAGACCTGACATAAATAAATAAATATTAAGGAAATAATCATAATATCCAAAAGGTAGAAGCAACCCAAAGTCTATCAGTCGATGAATGGATAAACAAAATGTGGTCTATCCATACAACAGAATGTCATTCAGCCTTAAAAAGGAATGAAGTACTGGTAAGATCTAAACATGGGTGAACCTTGGAAATGTGCTGTGTAACGAGGGCAGTCACAAAGAGCCACATATAGTGCGATTCCAATGATATGAAATGTCCAAAATAGGCAAATGATACCGACACAGAAAATAGACTAATGGTTGCCTCGGGCTTGAAGGGTTGGGGAGAAATGGGACTGATTGCTGGTTAAGTATGGAGTTTCTTTCTGGGGCTGATGGCAATATTCTAACTTTGATTGTGATGACTGGTTGTACAACTCTATGATACACTAAAAACAAGGAAGATCTGTATTTTAAGATGTTGTTGGGTGTAAAAATCATGTTTCAGAATAGTAGATATAATATGTGCCTCTATTTATATGAAATATATATGGAAAGAGTGCTATTATTATAAACCTAGAAGGTCTGAGATGGTACACACCAAGGGGTTCAGAAGGATTGCCTCCAGATGGTCACATTTGTGGATGGGAGGCTTTTGTGTTTTATTTTACATGCTTTTAGCACTTGCCTGTTCATTACAAACATGACCTGCTTTTGACATTTTTGAACAAGAAGGAAGGTAAAAGCATGTGGGGGTCCCACTGAAAGCTAGTGAATTAGGCCCTAGTGCTCCCTTGCATCGTGTCAAAAGAAAGGAGAAACAGGAGATGGTTACACAGGCTCTGGGATGTCAGAGCTATGGTGGGGTGGTCTCCTTGGAGGGAAAGCAGGACATCAAAGCCTGGGTCCTTTTCCCTTGGATCCCAGGCAGCGCTGGGAGTCTGCCCTGGGACAGAAGTTGTTTATGTATTGTCTAGGTGAAAGATTCACAACACTGAACCTAGGGTCCAAAATGCAGAAAGTATAACAAGTACACTCCACTGCAGCCTCCCTGCCCCCACCGCCCTGGCCTCCCAAAGCAACCAGAGGCCTCTAACTCCTCTAAATAGGTGGATGTTACACACACAGTCCTTTTACTAGATACAAAAAGCCATCTCCTCCATAGCAGAGCTTCACAGCGCCCCACGACATCACATGCTCTACTAACAGGGCCCCATTAAATGGACATTTAGATTGTTTCTCAGTGCTTGCTTTTACAGGTTTACAGTCTCTGATCCAAACAATTGAAAATCTTTTAGAATTCAGAATACATTTAGAGTTAGAAAAGCAACTCAGTGTATAGTCCATATATTAGGAAACATCCCAGTGGGACCTAAGGCAGCATCCCATAATCAAACATGTTAATACTTCACTGCAAATATGTATGATAAGTGGAATTAATAAAGACTATAAATGGTCTTGTCAGGTTTTGATACCAAATGAGTTGATGCTGATCTAATGGGATGTCTGTCTCCCAGTTTTCAGAACTTTCTGGCTTTTGGAATTGCAGATGAGGCTTTGTGGAGCTCAAAGGATGCTGCCATGGATCACTTAGGACATATAATTTTGCGAGTTTACAGGTATATCCATAAGATACATTTCTAGCAGTGGAGATGCTGGGTCAGAGGTTCTGTTCATTTGTGATTCATAGATTTTGCTAGAATAATGACCATTATTCTTCCTTGCCTATAAGCTGCTATACTTTCTGTACACTTTCTGTAACACTTGTGCTTTTGTCTGTTAAACTGGGAGCAATGAAAATTCTTCCCCCCTCCCTCTCTGCACAAAGCTAGACTTAAAAGTCTCTTGGAGCCAGGGGAGCAGAGAGAGCCTGAGCTTTGCTATCAGAGACCACAGGGCCATCCCTTTCCACCCACGTGACCCTGCACAAGTTACCTGTATGCACCCTGAGCTTCCATGTTCTCTTCTGTAGACAACCAACCTCCAGGACAGTCCCTCCTCACATTCCCACCAGCCTGCTCTTTCCCCCCTGCCTACTCCCAGCCCCAAGGCCTGGGCTTTGCCCTATCCCCCAAAGGAAAAAGAGTCCAGGCTAACAGAAAGAAAGGTCCACAGGCTTTTTAATGGTGTGATGGCTACTTCCCTTCCGAGACCCGATCTAATCATGACAGCGGCTTCCAGGGTGCTGGGGTGGGGATGGACAGGTGCAAGGTGGGCAGAGGCCATGCAGTGACTAGGAGGGGTGGGGGAGGGTGTTACATTCTGTTTGGCATGTAAACATTCTTCAGTGGCTTCCCCAGGGAGGGGAGGGGCACCTCCCTGCCCCTCACCCCATGCTCACCAGGGCTGATTCCCCCTGACCCCACCCCAGCTGAGAAGACTGAGCAAGCCAGGCTCCTGCAAGGAGCTGGGAAGGAGGCAGCCCACATACTGGGGGCACGGCTCCTCACCTGCACCCTCTTCGTGCACAGTGCGGCTGGGGAGGGGAGGCATGTTCTGGGGTGAGCAGACCTGCATCTGAGCCAGTGACACAGGCTGTGGCGATGGGGAAATGCTGGAGGGTCTGGTGGTGGTGGTGTGACACTCTTTTATAGAGAAAGGGGCTCAGGACTGGGAGGGCTTGGTGGGCAGGAATGGGTGCCCAAGGGGGAGGAGACTGCAGTGGGAGGTGGGGGCACTGGAAGGTGTGTTTTCCTCTGCCCTAGACCCTTCTGAGGCGGGGGGGAGGAGCAGAGTCAGTCCCTTAGCCCCCCACACACTTGCCCCCTCCCCTCCTCCCCCACCTCGGTGACATTCAATGACGCAGAGGCCTGAGGTCAGTTGGGAGCCCTAGGGAGGTCCGGAATCCCAAGGGCAGACAGGGTTTTGCGTCTCTGCCCAGCTCAAGTGCTGGGTGAAGCTAGAGTGTGGGATGGGTTTGGGGCTCTCTCAGGCCGCCCCCTTTTTCCTCCCAACACCAAACCAGGGTGTTGTTGGTCCTGGGGCAGGGGTGAGGCTGGGGGGCCCTACATTCACGGTTCGGTTGGTGGCAAGGAGCAAGCCCAGGACCTGGGCACCAGGGGTCATGCCCTGGTCCCCACCTGGCACGAGCTGATTGTCATTCGAAGAAGCTCTAGGTGGGAAGGAGTGGCCCCTCCTCCACCCCCTCTGCTGGACCCAGAGGGCAGTAGAGGCCTTGGGATGGGTCTCGGGTTGACAAAGAGGGCTCTGTCCGGAGAGGTTTCCTGAGTGTTCTGGGAGCTTCTGCGTCAGTGAAGGGTGAACCTTGAAGGCCATCCACCCTGGAGTCGTCCCCTGGGCTGGTCTGCAGAGAAGCCACCACCTTGGCATAGAAGCAGCTGCCCAAGCCTGCCAATTCTCCATCAGGGGCTTCAGCTGGTGCCACCAGGCTTCTCTTGGGGCCAATTTCCTCACGGGCATCCTTCTAAGTGATGGCGGCTGGATGCTGCCAGACCACTAGGGCAGGCTGAGGCCTTTACTCCTCTTCCCCGGGCTGTCT